GCAGATCCCGGATAAGTCTCTATCTCGAACTCTACCTCTCTATCAGGAGGTAAACCAGGTAACTCCTCTGGAAAGACATCAGGAAACTCGCTAACTGTACGGATCTCTTCGATCGTGGACAATGAACCTTTATTGTTCAAAATACAAGCAATGAAAGTCTCATACCCCTTCCGGATCATACGACCAATTTCCATCGCTGAAACTATATTGGAGAGATAGCCACGCCGTTCACCAATTAACATAACAGTCCGACCATCTGAAGTCTTTAGAGTAGCCCGCCTGTATTCACAATCCAGATTTACCTTGTGTTTATTCAACCAATCCATCCCAAGAATTAGATCGAACTCCTCTAAAGGAAGTTCCATAAGATCAGCGAGAAAAATTTTTCCCTGAACCTCGAGAGGACAACGCCGAAATACTTTATTCACTAATACCGCTTGTCCTACTGGACTCGTAACTGTAACAGTATTTTCAGTGTTCTCGATCAGAATCTGAAGGTTTCGAGATACCGAGCTTGATACATAGGAGTGAGTGGAGCCATTATCCAGTAATGCAAAGTATGGGATATAATAAATAGTAAATGTACCTGCAATAACCTCAGGCTCATCTCTGTCATCCCGACGTCTAGTGGCATAAACCAAAGCTGGCTGTCTAACCTCAGAAACTATTGGCCCTCTATTTTGCTGAGGTCGGGCTCTACTGTTAGTCCTGGACGCTGAACCACGAGCCTTTACTTGGCTACGATCTCTAATTGGAGTCTGTACTGTAGTCTGAGAACGTACAGGAGTCTGAGTAGCGGTCTACTCAAACGAAGCTAGCTGAGGACAATCCCTCCGAAAATGACCACTAGATCCACACTGATAGCAAAGACACATCTTCTTACGACACTCTCATTTGTGTTGTTTACCACAAAACTCACAGAGGAACCCATGATAATACGACGAGGAACCGCATCGACTGCCAACTAACGGTGAGGATGCTACAGGCCTGAAACGTGTATTGCTTCTCTGAGGGACTGAAGTACGAGTCCTTTTCCCGGACTGTGCTAATGACTCCATCGGGCCTGAAAATTTCTTAGATCGTTCCTGTTCAACACGCTCTCTACCAGAAGCTAAAACCTCCACTTCTTCAGCATCTTTGGCTCTGCCCACCAGCACATCAAATATCTCATCCTGATGGGTTACAACTTGCCTACGCAGTTTGTATCTGAGTCCAAGGGCAAATTTACGACATCGATCTCTCTCAGTAGGTACCATACTGAATCCATACTTCAGCAACTTCAAGAACTCGATCTCATACTCAGAAACAGCCATGTCTCCCTGAACCAGGTCTTGAAACTGCTGACATCTCTGAGCTAAGTAGCGCTCTCCCAGAAAACGACTCCGAAAGCGATCCTTAAAGAAATTCCAGGTCAAACGATCGGTAGGAACACTACTGGTCACTGACTCCCACCAAGTGTAGGCATTGCCATCTAACATCGCCACAACACCCTGATATCTCTTAGTTGAGTCTAAACCCAACTGATCCATGCGTCTCTCTATATCCTGGAGCCAATCCTCAGCTTCAGTAGGAGCTCCACCAATCTGTCCCCCAAAAGTTCTAACTCCATTGGCAATCAAAGTCTGCGAAATAGGAACCTCTGATACAACACCAGTAGCTCTGACTGCTCCCTGTATCAACTGCAGAAATTGTCTACCAAAATTCTTATCCAAAGCAACTCCGGTAGACTCTGACTCAATATCGATCGCTCCTATGATCGGTGTAGTCATGCCAATACCAGCGGTATGAGGCAGATTCGTTGAGGTCGTAGGAGCAGGATCACCTATCGGAGGTAGGGGATCTACCCGTATCTCATCAATGGGATCTACCCGTATCTCATCAATCGGATCTGTAAATCTAGCCACTCGACCTCGTCCACGGCTAGTTCGACGACCACGTCTAGCACTCATTTTGATGGATCTCAAGTTTACTACAGAAGATAAAACTTAGGGTTAGATAAGCACTTGGAGTCTCGAACACAATTTAAAAATCTTAATAATTTTGTGAGATGGCCTTTGTAACTTGTTTTGTAAAATATTTCAAAACCGTATTTTCAATATGGACTCATACACGGTCCGAGGGTTAAAAACCAAAAATCTGATACCAATAAATGTAACCCCCTAGACCCGGCCTATGCGTTTTGACTAAGTCTAGTGGATCACATACATGATTCTTAAAGACATTTTCTAAAACCGTTATTCAATCATTGTAAAATCACATTATAAATGACATGATATTATACTATCAAAACCCAACTTGTAAATATAATACCAATAAGTAATAAATTAATTTAAAACAGGTCTTCAAAATCAAAATCACAATAAACTGAATAGTAATAGTAAAAGTGTCATCATCCTAAAATACGATACTTTAAAATAAGGTCCATGTCACCAAAATAAATTCAACTAGCAAGATAAAACATTACAATCAGATATACTTCAAGAGATATGTTGATCCTCCAAGTGCTCGAACCGAGATATCTAACCAACAGTATCTGAAAGGGGAAAACATTTTCGAAAGGTGAGCTAGGCTCAGTGTGTCCCAATATTACCTTAAAATCACAATAGGTACATCAAACAAATCATAGTCCAGTAAATCTCATAAATTCATAAAAGAGTTTAACTTTTGAAAATCATAGTTTAAACCCTTTTCTTGTACACCATCAGTAGTTCCCAAAACTATTTTCCATATAGCTTACTTTAAGCACACAGCAAAAAGAAAGCCAACCTAAGGATAAGCTTTAGAGCTTGTATCATTAGGCCCGTAAGTCCAAGTCCATATAGCTTACCCTAAGCACACAGCAAGGGAAGCCAACCTAATGTATCTTGGGGCCCCAAGAGTCACATTAGGCCCATTCTATTTATTAGCTTGATCAGAGTTATACTATTGTAATTCAATCCAAAAGTTCAATTGCACCGTGTCACAAATTCCATAAATCATCACATTAAATTGGTGCATCAATAAAACAGTAACCAAAGAACTCAGTGTACCTCATATTAAAACCAATAAAATAGTTCAGTAATAATTAGGGAACACACCTCGATAATAGGTTCAAATAGTAGATCTATTGATTGCTGGTTTCACCACGCTCTGCTACAGTTTTCGAACCTATTTTATAATAACCCTATATTACTTATGGATAACATAAATAAATCTCTAAAATCATAAAATTTACGGGTCTTACGGGTGAATACTGGTACACGTGGTTTAACTGATCTAGAAGAGCTGTTTCGAGCTGTCGAACGATCCAGAGAATCTCTTGTACCTTCAAACAATAATAATTTATCAGCCCTAAATCTTACTTTATTGTTCAAAGCTAAAATTCTTAAGTATATAAGTATTTTCAGGGTTTGACTATAAATTTGGAGGATTTTGAGTCTGAATTTGGTCAAACGGATTGCGGAATCGGAATCAGGACGTCGAAAAACATAAAGTATGACTTTTCGAAAATTTAAATTCTTGGTCAAAGTCAACCACTTTGACCGTCGATTTGGAGGCCTTCAGGTTCGAATTTGACGAAACGGACTTCGGAAACGGATTTGGGACGTCGAAAACTATCAGAATAGGTATACTCGGAAAAGATTAACGGTCGTTTAATGGTCGGTCAAAGCCATTTTAAGTTTTGGTCAAAAGAGGTCAACGGTCAACTGTCGGGTCAACGGTCGGGTCGGGTCGGGTCAGACCGGTCAAACTGGTTCAGACTGGTCAGACCGGTTCGAACCGGTCAAACCGGTTTTCCAGTTGCTCACTCTCCCTGCGACGGCGCGTGAGACCACCTCCGGGGGTCTAAAAATTACGAAAAAATTTTCAAAAATTATTTTGAGCGATTTCTAGATACTTACAATGATCGGTTCAAATTTTTGAACGGCGGAGAGCTCGAATTTTAACTCGGCCGAATCTTTGACTGCTCCACTTCCTCATGTGTCGTCGTCGACGGCGAACAAGGTTGACACCGGCGGACTCGCAACGACACAAGGAACACGATGGTGCAAGAGGTGTCGTAAACGGAGCAACGATCGGTGATGAATTTGAGATTTTCCTGGCGATCGAGCTAAATAAAACGTCGAGACTTTGACTGGAAATTCCCGACGTTTGGCAGCGTTTCGATTCAATTAATTTGAAGGGTTTGTTTCTCGCTCGATGATGAGCACAACAGTGGTTTCAAAACGACGATCAGAATTCGGATGACGTCGGGATCTAAGTCGGAAACCGGCGTAGGGGAAGGGAATTTAGGAGTGTGGTTTCTGTTTTTTGAAACAGAAACCACACGTATATAACATATAACCCCAAACTTACCTAACTTTTTTGGATAAATTCAGGGCTTAGTCCCTAAATTTTCTTTAACTCTAAAACAAACTCCAAATTTTAAAATCTTTCAATTTAGTCCCCAAATTTTCGCCAATTTTCACAATTAACCTCCAATTTCAATTAAATACTATTTTGTAAATATTCGGGTTGTTACATGTTCATCGTTTAGTTCATGTTCGTTTAAATTTTTAGTATTATGTTTGACAACCCATTCTCTTTTACCCTTTTATATGGAAATTAAAAGGAAAATAGTAAAATTACGCTACTAATCATTAAATTACTTAGATTTCACAATTCAAACTTCAAAATTCACCTTATATTCAATTTAATTTATATCTTTATCGATATTTAAAAATAATAAATTTTTTAATAAACGAGTTAATAAATAAATATTATAAAATAATTTGTTCGTGAACATTATATTATATTTTTATAACCTCTACTAATCCATTAGTGACCCACACCTAAGCCACAAGTGGCGGCTGAATTTTTTAACGTGGCGAGAGCTGAATGTAGCATCTGCAACTGCAGACGCCTCGCCATCTGTAAAACCACCCAAAGTTACATGCAAAATCCAACGGTCAGTGTCTTTATACATAGCGTACCTCATTCAACTCCATTCAACTACTCAACTGAGGCTTCCTTCAAAAGAAATGGCAGATTTAAGAGATGTGCATGGCAACCCCATTCAACTCACAGATGAGCATGGCAATCCTGTTCAATTGACTGACGAACATGGTAACCCCGTCCACGTCTCTGGTGTCGCGACCACCCACACTGAGCAGCAGCAGACTCAGATGGGATATGATATTTCCGCTGCTTATGATGCTCAGCCTCAGCAGCAACTTTACTATAAGCAGCCGTTCCCAGAGGCACAGCGGGTACATTACGAGGTTTCCAACACTACCAGAGAAGAGATTCTGCGTTCCAACACCTCCAGCTCTAGCTCGGTAAACAAACCCACCTCATTAGGTTTTTATCTCTGTTTAATTATGTATATATATGTGTAAATAATGTGTTTTTTTCCTTCTTCTCTGGTTGTAGTCAGAGGATGATGTGATGTGTGGTAGAAGGAAGAAGAAAGGGTTAAAGGAGAAAATAAAGGAGAAGCTAACGGGTGGTAAACATAAGGCGGCGGAGGCCGGGAAGGAATCACAAACCGTGACCTACGTTGCCAAAACCAGCGTCACAACAACCACCAGCGACGCAATGTCGCCCCCTGAGCACCACCACCACCATGATCAACACCAGAAGAAGAGTATGACGGAGAAGATAAAGGAAAAATTGCCTGGTCATCATAGCCATTGAGGAGCTAACTTATGTCCATGAATAAATTTAATGTTGTTGTTATGCAATAATCAATAAAAGGGTTATCTTTTGCCTATTAGGTGATATCTAAGTACTATTTACTGGCATTTTCTTCTACTGACAATTGACCATCAATATCTGAACTCTATGAATCCATTATTTTGTTGGTAGCTTCTGAAAAAGGGGGTAAAGCAACATTTCTCCACCAAAAAAGGGAAAACCTCCATTGATGATGTTCATGAAAACAACTGTTAGAGATAAAACTTCATTACCCTCTTTTAACCAAAGATCTGTCTTGCAAATAACTCTCAACAAAACTGATCAACAAGCCTCTGAGTTCTTACAAACCAAGCATGGATGAAGATGCTCCTTGGACCAGCTCGTAGACCCCTTACTTTAGCCTTTACACTGGTACAACACGAGGTATCATTCGCCATGATGTTCAAGGCCAATATTTTGTTTGACAATACCTTTCTTTTCACCAAGGTAGCTGGTTTTTTGTTGTCAAAACGCACCATCTTGAAACTATGTGCAAGGCCTGTCATTAGCCCCCACAAATGCCAAGAAGAAAGCAGGTTAGATTGGCTGAATGGGCCTTGGAATGGAAGAGAAAGGGCCGGCTTGAAAAGATCGTTTGATCCTCGTATTGTGGATGCTCTGCCAATGCTGAACCAAAGAAAAAGTTTGCGATGCCGACAACAGGCAGTTGATCAGAGCCTCCGATATTGTATTTTGGAGATGATATTGTTACAGCTTATGTGGTTTCCCTTTTTCTCTTTTTCTCCTATAACCATGACATTTACGTGGTTTTAACCCGACATCTTGTTGACATCTAACCTCACCAAATGCTACATGACTAACACAAGAACTACAAACGATCTACACGTGGTGTAATAATAATGCTGTGCCTTCAATTTCCTAGATTTGTGATTAAAATAGGGTATATGGAAGGGGAAACTATGGCTAAAAAATGTGATGGATTCTATTTCAGGTAATGGGGAATCTTATGTGATAAGACCTTTAAAATGGGCATAATTTCCTAATTAAATGCCTATCAAATGGTGGTAGAAATTAGATATATTTGGGGATCTAAAAGGAACACCAAGTTTAATCTAGTAATTCACAAAGTCGCCCATAAAAACTAGTATTCAAGAATCCTATAATCTGCCTACAATCTCCTTTGGCCACAAAGAAAAAAATATCTAAAATGGACTAATGGATGTTATTAAGCAGCAAAAAAGAATGGGAGGGCATTAGAAAGTAGAATAAATAAATGAAAAGGTGAGAGATGCCTTTAATCTTTTGAATCAACAAGAGGGAGTTTAGATAAGGCCTTGACATCAACTTGTGTCCATCTTTTTCCTGAACCAAAAGGAAAATCCAAAGCAGCCATAATTGTTGATATTCCGGCAGAGTAGCATTCCTTTTCATGTTTCAACAAATTCTTTTTTCCACATTAGATAATGGAGAATCAAACTGAAATGAGGACTTTTCACATGGAAGCTTTGAAGAGCAACCTTCCCCAAAAGATATGGTTCATGTTCTTCGGATATTATAAAGAAAAAAAAGCGGATAAATATTTGATGAATGATGATTCAGTGTTCAACACAATGGATATAGTTTGTTCCTTTCAGCATAAGGGTTGTCAAGGTATTAACTAGGGTAAAGATAGATCATTTGCATTTCACTGCACAAGTTAGTTATGTCGAGGATCTCAAGAACATCCTGATGCTAAGAAAAGGAATAAAACTTTAAAAATTGAATATGAAAGAGATGCAGCTTTGTACACCTTATCTATGTTGAGTATCGAATAGCAGTCATTGCACTTCACCTTGCATCGGCCTGTCAAAAAAATCAAATACCATCTGTTATCAGATTGTGTACTCAATGAATTATATCTGCAGGGTGCAAGACAGGCAGACTTTATGATTAAAACTTTGTTATGGTAAGAATTAAGATGTACCTTTATTCTTTGACATGATCAGCATGCTTTCCTGCCTGCAAAATTTGGCAATGCATTACATCCATTGATTCAGGCTGGAAATCTAATGATGCCAGCCCTGAAGCATACACAAAGATGATAAATATTGCTTCATGCTGTTTATCAAAGAAGATCCATCTGGGAGCTTGCATTGTGAAACTGTGGAAAGGGGTTGGTTCATGATTTCAGAGAGCATTGTTTATAATAATCAGAGTAAGCAGTTGTGACTTGGTTTCACTTCTAATTTTATTTCACATTGATGTTCGAAGAAACCCGGACACTAGAAATTTTACAACCCTTGGTTCATCTAAAACTAGGACCAATGCACATTGTTGCTACACTTGTAAACCAACAAAATGGGAATGACATAACAATTCGTAACATCAAACCAAGCAAAATACTATCGATTCAGTCCTAATGCAACCATTTTGGCCTTCAAAAGAATCACCATTTAACCTAACCATACAAAATCAGAAGTAAGATGCTGTCCACAATCAAGATGAAGTAAAACCTATCACAACCTTTTCTTTTTGGTGAGAGATTCCCAATCATCATCCTCATATTCAACATCAAGCTTTTCGAGTTGATTGTGATTTCTGCTTTCATCACAAAGATCTGGAATGGCGCTTTGGGAAACCTCACACAATTTTCTTTTCTTCCCAGTAAAATTTTCAGTCAGCTCAGAAGTTTCCCGAATTTTAACATCCTTCTTACCCTCCAGAATCTCCTCCGTTGGCAACACACTGGATGTACTTTCACCATTTCCAATAGGCTTATTACTGTCCATATCAGCAGGAGCCTCAAAGCATCCAGAGAGACGCATTCCATCAAGTTCCTTCTCATCAAATTCCTCCCTGTGAGCATGAGTAAATTTTTTAAATCGGTCTTCATATTTGAGGACAGCTGTCCCAAACTCAGGAAAATAATTAATGCAAATAGAGAACAAATCAGCCACAAGCCAGACATTTTGCAATTACAGAAAAGAAAATAAAGGAAGTTTATATCAGATTTGAGATCAACACTCATAATAATTTAATAATAAGACGTCTAGCCTAATCAAATAGTTAGACTGAAACAGATTTTAGTTTAGCTAAATAAATGTGCCAAATGCTTTTCATTGTTTAACCGTATGACACAAATGCCAGGAGCAGATGTAACAGTTATGCACACAAGTAATACCAAAAAAGGACACAAGCAAAAATGATAAATTAATTTGATGAAACCAGTCCAACATTCATCACATATTCTTAAAGAACCTTCTACAGAAATAACAGGAAAGGAATTTTAATGTTTTACATTACGGTTACGGTTAGAAACATAGACACAAACCTATGCTTGATATTGATACTGCATTTGATTTCCTGTTGTAAATCCTCTACAGTAAGCATAGTCCCACTAATAACCGGAGAAGGCAGCTCAGATAAGGCCTGTTAAGCAAAAAATTCACAATTATCACATTATCTGATGTGCTACAGTGTAAAAGAATAACTCCTGTGACTGTCGGACTTGAATCCACGAATAATTAATGCAAAAAGGAAAAAGATTCATATTAGAGGATATTTTTCTTTAAAAACAAGGAAAGGGCGAAGAAATTGCTTTCTCAAGGTTTGCAGCATAAATTGCTACCATATCCTCTTCATGATCTTCACCAACTTCATAAAGAATACTTGCCCCTAGCATAATTAGTGGGAAATCCATGCCGAGTTTGGCTTTAACAATCTTTTCAACAACATCCCTCAACTTAGAGCGATGTGTATTAACTTCAAGCAATAACTGTGTCTGTTTGCAAGGTATTAAATGTGAGCAAGTGTGAGTTGAAACATTTAAAAGGAAATTCCATTCAGACATTGATTTAGATATACCTCCGAAGAAACATAGCAAGACTTGTTAGGTTCATAGGATTCTACAGGCATTAGAAGCAACTTTCTTGAAGGATGTTCCAAACAATAGGTCATCCTACATAGGCATCCAACTCAGATTAGAACCACATAGCAAAAAGCAATTTGCATTAGGAAGCATGGGAAGAGAACAATAAATCCTAGCATTTACGATGGCTGCTATAGATTACATCAAACTAAAATAAACATAAAGGAAGCATGGGAAGAGAACTATACAAAAACAATGACTGCTATGGATTAAATCAAACTGAAATAAACATTGAAACTTGTGCTCGATACTTAAGAAGAAACTGAACTACATAGTTACTTTGTATTTAAATATCTAAAATTCTAAAAAATGAAGAACAAAGAAACTAAACTAAACCTGTAATTGTTGCTATCTTTATTTAAAAACTTTAATTGCTTCAATCACGATCAACCCAGCTATGATAGCATTTGTTGTTGCCACAGCATGCACAATATTACCAGCAATTCCTTTAGCTTCAAAAACACTATGCAAAGGAATCCCAAAAGAAGAGGCCCTAATATTGGCAGCAGCAGTAACAAATTCCACATCCAACTGATCATCTTTATCAAAAGTCAGGTTTCCAATTTCCTGTCAAATGGTTAAATAAACTAGTATTTCTTGGTCAGAAGAAACGATCAATCAACTTTTTGAAAGCAATAGATTAACACTGACCTTTCTTCTCTTCAAGAAAAATAAATCTTAAAGACTCGTAGAAAACTCTTGAATTTTCTGCAAGGCTCCATACATTCTGAGGATTCTTCAAGCCCAGAGATGCCATGGCAGATACATCATCAGTTGCACTCCCTTTTTTATCGTTTCCATTCTCTTTAGTTAGTTTCTCAGGAAAGATGTCCTTACTATATATATGCCTTGGTTTGTTACGGTTTTTCCAAATATTTGTTAGACAGAGTCACTTCTATGTTATGACCAAATACATGATCATATATTCTTCTTCCATATTGTCCAATATCTTCATCTATTCTACATTCAAATGCATCTTCAGAATGTTCCAATGAGTTTGTAGCATCACTAGAGTGCACATTCAAATCATTTTCCTGATTCTTGTCCCCAAACAACTTTGCAAAAAGCAGGTCCTTTGCCCACACGATACAATGAACA